TGGGGGTGATATACAGCGCATTGTGAATGTAAATAGCACATGGAAAAAACTATGGGGACCATTGTTATAATTATGACTTATCATTTCCTTACTACAAGGAAAGAGCTTATCTGTAGCATTTCTTATAATTATGACTTATTATTTCCTCACTACAAGGAAAGAGCTTATCTGTAGCAAATGCAAGTAGCAAATGGTTGTTATCCTTTAGTAAAGAAGCATCTTTATAGTTAGTGGTAAATCCTGGGTACCTCAAATAAAAGTCTCATTTGCACAATATCTCTGAATTGATAATACACAGACAAACATTAGCTTTCAATCTCAGCCGTTCTATGCATTCTGCACTTGTGATGAAAGCTACTTTTCTTAGAGTTGTGCCTCTTTTCTTTAAATACAATGAAACTCACCTCCTCCATTTTTGTAGCACAAGTAAGGAAACCTCCACACGTTTCCCAGACCTATGATTTGTCCTGCGACAGCCAAGAGGAACTCAGTTTTACTGGACCACTGTCCTCTGGCCAGAGTGCTGGATGCAGGAAGGGCTGTGCTCGTGTCCAGCCTGAACTTGACCTCTGGACCATGGGGCTTGTCCATCGGCACTGAAACAATAGAAACGTTACCAAAATAAAGTACTTTTTAGATACAACAGCATTGTTCACAGTCTGAATAGCTGCATGTTTACTTAAAGCTACGTAGCATTTGTGTATTAATAACAATCATTTATGTTATTTGTGGATTTTATTTTGCATCATTTGTATTTATAGGTCACTTTTTAGTCCCAACACTGCCAAGTAAAGAACACAACAATCACTAACCACAGCAAAAATACCTTCAAGATTTAATCACTGTATATTAATGATCATAATCCACACAATGCCAGCAGTCTTGCTGCACTAGGTCAACAGAGGGTCAGTTCGGCTTGGCATGAGGGGTAATTCTTTCATCAATGTCGTGCTTGTGTTGCTGTCTTGGATTTGATGTAGGAGTGAAGTTAGTAGAGTGAAAAATGTGTGTGCTACCATGTCACTGTTAAAAAGCTTCAAATCCTGAGATGCTGAAAACAACTTTCCTAAACTGTTGTAATGATTGTTTAGTGATCCACTGAGAGGAAAATGAAAAAGTATGCAGTATGTAAATGCATAGTCACTGAGCAAGACATTGATGCACAAATTGTTCCCCAAATTTATTTCACTTTGAATTGAAACTGTCAAAATAAATGTAATGTAAGGACATGGGTCTTCACAGCCACCCAGGCAGAAAGAGAATAAATTTTTTTGACACTGGCGCTGCATGAGCAAGTTATAGTACAATCAGATAACCTTAGACCTATTTAACTAATCAGTTGTGGCTGTGCACGGAATGTTGTTGTTAAATAGGGGATGTTGATAAGTCTCTTACAACCTTTCACAGACATAAATTATCTTCTGAAATGAGGTCTGCCTTGCACCTCTAAAGACCAGCAATGACAGGACACGTGAACTGAGCGCTGATCATCACTGATGAGCTCTTTACAGAATTTACTTAAAATCACCAAAGTACGCATCTACCGATCTGTGTGATATTTCAAGCCTCTTTCCAACACTGGAATTGAAGGACTGCATCTGAGAATCTTTCTGAAACCAACAGCCTGATATTCGCACCCATGTCATGCAATAATTGGACTGCTGCTGTGCAGAGGTGAGAAACATGGGGATGAAAATTCTCAAGCCATTTTTTTTAGTTTGTCACATAATCATTTCTATCACATGTAGTATGTACAAAGGAGCATAACACAGTTAAAGAGATTTAAAAAGAGATTGTCCAAAGGTTGGCATCATGTTTGAACAACAATGACTTGTCTTGAGTCTGTCTATTCAGAACAGCTTTAAACACTGTTTCCTTGTAAGACGCACTGTATAATAGTTATATAGATGTAGATATTTATATAGATATTAATATTTTTGAACATATTTATTATATTTAATCTATAATATTTAGAGATCAATACTATATAATGCAGTATGGTTGGAAAATATACAGTATTTGTTTCCTACAATATTTAAGTATTCATTTGTATCAGCGATGTATATGATGCTTGTGTAAAAAGATGATTTCTGCAACTTAAATATTTTTTCACAATTTTTATAAAAACCAAAACATGTTAGGTTGTGCCCTGCAATCCCCTATTGTACTAATATATATGCTGCACTGCAGTGTAACGACTATGGAGTCTACAGTCATGCTAGCAGTTCTGCAACGCTGTAGGTTATGTTGAAAATGCTAAGGTTAGAATGCTAGCATACTCATAATGAGAAAGGTAACAAGCAAATATCCAATGTAAGGCAATACTAACCATGTTCATCACCTTAGGTTTGTGTGTTGTAGTGTTGCACGATATACCGGTACTAGTATGGTATGGTGTTTTTTTCAAAATGTTAAATGTGGTTACAGCACAGTCGTTCAGTGTTTTACATACATATTTAGCAATATTTAATATGTTATAAAGACTGGTAACATACCATTTAAAAACATTGGTCCTACTTAAGACAGGCTATATGTAATGAAAATATTTTTTTCTAAGTTAGAACTTCTAACTTCATACTTTTTATTTACTCACACTGACTGTTCTAAAAAAACTGCCATCCTTACAGCTATGCACTGAGTGGATAGAATATACAGACTACTGATGATCACCAAACGGAACACCTAGTTTTATGTTTTTTGTTTTTAAAATGTATTAAAAGTGAGAAATGATTTTGTTTGGCTGAGGCCAGTGGAGCAGATATGCCATCAAAAGCTTGGTGTACAGAAATCTACTTCATGGAAGACAAGGCAACAAGGGGAAAAAGTACATTTCACTTCTTGTCCTAGAGTTACTTCAGATATTGGCTAATCTAAACTGAATCTAGCTGATCTAAACTGACTTGGCAAGTGGGTCAATATTAATACGAAGCAAGACCCATGAAGCCAAGGTGCTAAAAACAACTGGTGTTAACAACTTATGATGATTTTTCAAAAACATCACAGATGTTATTTTAGTTCTACATGTGACCAAACTCTCAGAGACTTGGCAGTAGAAGGAATAACTGCTGGTCAGTTCTGCTGGGTAGGTTTCTTTTTTTAATCCCACCCCACCACTGACCATAAATATAAAAAAACAGATTCATTTAATATTCATAAGCTCCATTCTGTTGTTCTGCTGTTTATTAACATAAAAATCTGATTTGGTTTTAGGGCTTAAGATACTGAAGAATTAAAACATTGTTAAAAAATGTATGCATAGTGTAATTTATTAAAACAATAATAGCAAGAAATGTTTGTATTTAATATCTGTCTAATTCTGTCAAAGTAACTTTTTAAAGAGTTTGTTATTATGCAGATGCTTGCACATGAGAAGTGTACTGTGTAGTGTAGCTCCTGTAGCCATAATCACAGAACAGCAATAAGTGAGCTAGCTGGTTTTGTTGAAGTGTAGCCAGTGACCTTTGGCCTACATATTACAGCTATAGCACCAAACATGAACCGCTGAACTGCACGGATACCGTTTGTTTTCCATTCAAGGAATTAAACCACAGTAGTTTTGTGTCTCAAGACATGAAGACAAAGCATCTACCTGTGATCTTTCAGCAAAGGGAACAGTAAAGAGTACCTGAGAAAGATAGTCTCACGTCAGCAGTCTGTGGTTCTCCTTTATGTTTCCATTGAGCTTGAGGTAGAATTCATCTGGTGCCTCTTTTGGGAAAATACAAGTCTAGATTCCTTTCTCTTCAGTACAATGTTCTACCCAGCTCTGCTTATGAGTGAGTCCATGTGTAGAGGCTTGAGAGAGCTGTGATTATGTGACAATGAGGGAAGGAGAAAGAGCAAGAGAAACTGAGGGAGACCGGAGGGGGCGGGGGAGAACTTCTGTGTTTCTGAATGGGCGAGTAAAGGCGGAGACTGTCCCAACAGGCCTCACGGTCTGACAGTAAAGAGGAGGGAGGGGGGTTGTTCATTATCTATGCCAGTTGCATAGCTTTGTGTGTGCAGGTCTTGAGTATGTCCAGTACTGTGATCCAGACTGAATAACACCTTTCTGACTTTAGTGATCCTCTGATTTTATGTTTATGATTAAGCTTATGCTTATTTTTCATGCAGTGTCACAATGAAGCTGATATTTTAGACGTTTTGTGAAAAGTTTCAATAATGACCTGAGTGGAGGTCAATGTGAATGTTAGGTGAGCCCTTTCCATCTAGTGCAGTAGTTCTATTTTTGTGTAAATGCCTGCTTAATTCAAGTTGAAACTTCTTAAACACCCCCCCACAAGTCCCCCCCACATGCACACACAATGTATGTTTTCAGTCACTAAGGCCATCAGTTAATCAGATAACATTTGTTATGAGTGGCAGCACTGACGAATAATGTAGTCCACTAGTTTAAACTTTTAAACATCAAAACAATATTAAAAAGAATCTCTTTCTCTCATAATGATGGAAAGAGAAATAGCAAGAGAAACTGAGGGAGACCAGAGGGGGCGTGGGAGAACTTCTGTGTTTCTGAATGGGTGAGTAAAGGCGGAGACTGTCCCAACAGGCCTCACGGTCTGACAGTAAAGAGGAGGGAGGGGGGTTGTTCATTATCTATGCCAGTTGCATAGCTTTGTGTGTGCAGGTCTTGAGTATGTCCAGTACTGTGATCCAGACTGAATAACACCTTTCTGACTTTAGTGATCCTCTGATTTTATGTTTATGATTAAGCTTATGCTTATTTTTCATGCAGTGTCACAATGAAGCTGATATTTTAGACGTTTTGTGAAAAGTTTCAATAATGACCTGAGTGGAGGTCAATGTGAATGTTAGGTGAGCCCTTTCCATCTAGTGCAGTAGTTCTATTTTTGTGTAAATGCCTGCTTAATTCAAGTTGAAACTTCTTAAACACCCCCCCACAAGTCCCCCCCACATGCACACACAATGTATGTTTTCAGTCACTAAGGCCATCAGTTAATCAGATAACATTTGTTATGAGTGGCAGCACTGACGAATAATGTAGTCCACTAGTTTAAACTTTTAAACATCAAAACAATATTAAAAAGAATCTCTTTCTCTCACATTCATTTTCAACAACATAATTATTATCAACATCAGAATCAATTGGCCAGCTGTGTTGGACACACAAGGAATTTGACTCCGATACAGTGGCTCTCGGTGTGTACGTACAATGTTCTTCCAAAAGGCATCGAGTAGGCAAGTAAACAAAATAAGGCTTAGACAAATAAAAATAAAGTGCTTATAAATATAGAAATATATACACACACACAGATGCAGTTTTGAGAGGGTACTGGCTGCAGGCCACAGATGTCCGGGTTGGAGCCCCGTCCTGTGTCCCCTAACCCTAACCCTCTCGAACAAAGCATGGTAACACAATGGATGTTGGCCGAACTGGAGATCCAACCCCGCCTTCTCGTGGCCTGCAGCCAGCATCATTTGACAACTTTACAGTGCCTCATAGGAAAGTGTGTCCAAACGTTTGACTGGTAGTGTACAATATATTTACCTTAAATAAGGGAAATGAAGAGGGAAGAACAACGAAGACACCAGCACACTGCTCTCGCCGTACTGAGTGTGGGAAATTAATG